AAAAAAGGGGTGAAGTACTTTAAAACACATCTTCAGAACGTAACTGCGTACAATACCTCTCTCAAGTAAACACAAAATAGTAGTTTCTATTTCTGTCTGAGCTCACTCTTGAATTGCTGTTAGCATTTAAAATTAGGAATTGTAATTTTTATTGAATTGTTTACTGTAATTAATTTTTTTAAAGGGCAACACACTGAGGGGATCATATGACGAGATATGATGCACATCACATGACACCTGTAACACATTCTGGGAGTGGCGCAAATTCAGTGTGGGACTACGGGAATGAGTAGACTACAGGAATGAGTGTGTACTTCAGTATTTTATGCTTTTGATGTCATTATTTTATGCTTTTGATGTTCAGTACATTGAAACCAGGCACATAGGACAGCAGCATGTCCTGATGCCAGTTCCCTACCAGTGTGTGGGCTTGTATTGAAAATGAGTATGTTGTGACGCATGTCACATGCAGTCTGTGTGCATTGTCGCTAGCAGTGCTTCTATTTTTACAAGTTCATACATGTTGTTTATACAACAGCTGTGTTGAGAGACTTCACGTCATATGTCAGTCCTTTCATTTTGTTGTTTGCAACTATTTAATTTATGGATTTGTGAATAATCTGTGTTTGAACACAGAGACCAGAACAGAAACTTTTTATCTTCTTGTAAAAAACTTCCAAATCTTCAAAATAAAATTGATATTTTTTGTAATAAAAGAAAAGTGAGAATGCAGCTGACTGAAAACAGCAGGGGCTCAATTATGTGAACAGATGGTTAATCGATTTTCTGTGTCACTTTGTCTTACATCAGCAACAAATGGGAGCTGACTGATAATGATAGTCAAATGGGTCATAAGTTGTCTTCTTTTTTTTGCTGTTCAGTGTTTATTCCTGTTTGACATGGTTTTATATCTCCTGCACTGCAACAAAACTTGAGTCTGTGCCTGTTTTCACCAGTGAAATAAAACAATTTTTTAAATAAATTTAATTCATTAATTAATCAATTACTTTATTACATTTCTTTATTAAAGGACACCCCCACCTCTCCCATATCCCATGATTTTTTTGTAAAGGAAAACTCCTCATCTAGTGTGAATGGTGTGAACGTGGCTTTATTTGGCAGTGCAGACATATTAATTACTCAGTTGTTACTGGAGGGCACATACAAACAAAGAAAAAGTTGATTTAACAAAGAAAAACTGTACTTCTTGACATTTTACCAGTAAATGGCAGCACAGGCCCCAGCATATCTGCATTCACAAACACTCACTAAAAATGGCCCTCTAGCAGGTGCATGGAACTGTGTTCACAAACACAGCGCTGTTTGCAACAACATGTACAAACACCCACTGGTAATTAAACCGTATTATAAAAACAGGTATCCAACACCTAACAGCAGGGAAAAGGAGACATATCATGACCCATTTGGTCTTTGAAAGACTGAGTGAATGTTATTAATGGGTCATGTGGGTTCAGACAGAGATAATTGTGGGTAGAGTTCCAGATATTGTGGTTTCATGGTATAGTGTGGTATGAAAATTGATGTTGAGACTTGTATTTGTTACGTCCACGGATCAGGCCGTCCCCGGCACCTTGGCAGCTGATACCGGGGCTACTGGCGACTCCACCCCTGCTCACGTAGGAGCACGCTCCCGGTGGCAAGGCACACCTGCGCTCAATTGTCAGAACCATACTTAAGCACAGTGCTGGTGTGTCCTCGTCGCCAGATGATCTCTCAGTCTTCTTCCGGCAATTTCGCGTGTTTTACGTCCTGGATCCTGATGTCCACTAATATCAACCTACTCTGGTATATTGATGTTATCCACTGTTTCTCTGTCTTGTTTACGTTTTTTCTGAACTAACTATCGAGGAGTATCTTATGTTATTTTGAACTGATTACTGAGGAGTATCTTACGTTTTTTCTGAACTGCTTACAGAGGAGTGCTTTATGTTTTATTTTTCTGAACTGATTACGGAAGAGGGCTTTATCTTCTTGTTTGAACTGTTACCTGGTGCCACCTATATCTCCGTGGGCCTTGCGGCCGATCGAAGATCGTTGTTTGGGGTTCGTGTCAAGTGCCTGGGCCAGAGAAGTGTGGACGCTTGCTCCTGTCTGCATACCTCGGCGCTGGGATCCAAGCACGCTCTCCTGCCCAGAACCAGCATTTCCCTATACACAGGTCACCTGTGTTGTGCTCTACATCATCACACCCTCATCCGCCTATTGTCCCCTCTCTTAATCTCCTTCTCTGCTCTATACACAGTGCCAAAACCTCTCCTCTGACCCCGGGCGGCTCCTCCAGTGGTCCAGTCATTTCAGCGGCCCCAACCGCCCGAGACCCACCCCGGCAGCTCCGCGTCTGATCCTCACCACCTCCTTTTCTTTCCATACTCTGTCGAATAAATTTCTTTCTCTGACCTGGGTTTGAGTCCTGCCTATTCCTGAGTCCAGTCGCTCTGTTGGTGTGCGGCTTGCCGTAACAGTATTATAACTTTGTGTGCATACTGTGTACAGACATTACCTTTTAACAAACTAAACGTGAAATAGATTTGCCAAAACTTACCTTTAAAGGAGTTCTTCCAGCTCACAATATGAGGATGACTGACTGTCTTCAGGATTTCTGCTTCTGAGATGAAATCTTGGTTTGTGGGTGTCTGTTAAAAACACCACTTGCTTAAGAATGGCCTGGCAGTCAGAGGGACTGGTAACACACATGTTAAAGTTGTATGGCTGAGACAAAGTAGTCAACAAACTATCTCCTTTAAAAACACCCTCCACTTGTGCCTACTTTTTTTTTCTTATGTTGTGTTATTGAGTTAATAAATTGGTAAAATGTATTAAAATTAATTTACTGCTGATAATCTATGGCTTGGTGTCAAAGCTCTGGTAGTGTTAACGTTGAGTGTATACTTTGCCACTTACTACAGTGGCTGTTGTGCTTCAAAGTTTCTGTACTGACAAAAGCAGGCAAAGAAAAAAAACTCAACTCTGTGCTAGTAAAACAGAAAAACATATTTAGCTTGTGTTTTACTTATTTTGTGCTGTTCACAAGATTATGAATTGGCCTTTGCTGGTTTGGACTCTAGATGTATAATAAGGTTAATAAAGATAACTGAATCTTTTTTACAATGGGAGTCTTTGAGAGAGTGAAGTGACAATCCCTCTGGAATTTGTCACTTCATTCAAAAACAGAAGATGCTAACAAGAATGTTTTCTAAATTCATACAACTTTCTCAACATTGTAGTGTATAATTTGTTTGTGAAAGTTTAAGGTTACAAAATAAGAGCAGAAAACAGAAAAATTGCAAGCAGGCTGCAAGCGAGAGCTTGATGTCACAGTGATATCACACACTCTAAGCGCTCTCTCACAATAAAATTTTAAATGAATGAGTTCCATTTGTGTAAGTACTATTTGAAAATTTTCAACACATTTTAACAATACTGTGATAATATTGATACTCGTTATAATTTTGGTCACTATAATCGTGGTGTTAAATTTTCATACCATTACATCTCTACCTATGACACAACCTCTAATACCTCAATCCATCTTCATTCTGAAACGGAGAATGCAGATGACTGAGAGAAGCAGGGAGTCACTTTTGATTGACCAGGTGATTGACACAAAATTTGTTACATCTGTGTTGCTTTATAGTACATCAGTAACAAGTAGTAGCTGACTGAGTGTTTTACACATCTGTATGGGACAGTACATTATACTAACCTATGCTTAAATATAGTCTGGATGAGTATTAAAGTGAGTGACTGAGCTTGTGTTTTACTAATGTTACTTGTATGGGTTGGGTCAGGTCACTAGTACTGACCTTTGCAGGTGTATATTGCAAATTTAGACTTGTTTGAGCTTTAGCTTTCTATTCTACCGTATAATGCATTTATTTAAAAATTATGTTGAAACCTATTACACATATCACAACTTAATTATGTGCATACCACTGTACCTTGTGGGCAAACATTACCTTTAATAACAAATTCAGAGGAGCATACATTATGTCAAAACTTAGCTTTCACTGTTCATAGTATGAGGATGAATGGAGGATTTCGATCTCTGGGATGAGTGCCTTTCTGACTGTTTCTGCCAACTGCATGACTGAATACAGCAATTATAGGCCTTTTATGAAAGTGGACTGAAATAATCCCAAGAAAACAACAACCCATTTCCAGGGGCATTTTCCAAAATGCAATAAAATCTGAACTCTATTATTTGTTAATTTGCTTGAACATTTAACTGAC